AAAAAAAAAAAAAGAAACAGCCGGTTTTTCATCTCATTTGTGAAAGTTGAAGTGGCAAGCATAACGCAAATCCCGCTACGATTTTATGCTTCCTCTAACGGGAATTATACTGCAAAAGGCAAAATGTGTTTTTGCTTCCCTGAAAAACTTCGCCTTTGTGTGCCCGTTACTTTTTACATATTTCGCTTACCCTAATACAACCCCCCTCAAGGAGGCTTCCAAAACAAATGGCTCACATACATCAAGCAAACGATACGTACATAGTGCAGGCACACACACACGCACGCACACGCACACACACATACACACGCACACACATGCACGCACACACACCCGCGCACACAAACACACACACATCCACACACACTCATGAAAGGAATGGCATAACTATGCTTCGCACGCAGATATAAACATTCTAGTAAACATAACTACCACCAAACACCTGGATCGACTGCCCGGGCGATCTCGATAATATTTGTCAGAAAAATTCTGTAAGAACCTTTTCCTGGAAGCCACCAAAGCGATGACGAATCCCGGAACTGACAAGTACGCGGATTCCTGGTTTATTGCCAAGTCGAATCCAATCAACTGCCTCGATATCTTTCACGTCAATTGCCAGCGTTCGTCCAGTTTTTGTATTTTTGAAGCTAATTTGTGAATCGGCTAACTTGATTCGACCAGAATGCTGGAAAGGTGCCAAAAAGTTGATAAAAGAACGGAACCGGATCGGAATAAAAACATTTATACCTTTCTTGCATTCTGCTTGGGTGGAAGCACACAGTTTTTTTTTACAAATTTCTAAGCGCTGACTTAATGAAGATTGTGGTACTGGGACATATGTACGTGTGTGTATGTATGCCATGTGTGTATATATTTGTGTACGTACGTGTGTATGTATGTATGTATGTATGTATGTATGTATGTATGTATATATGTATGTATGTATGTATGTATGTATGTATGTATGTATGTATGTGTGTATGTATGTACGTATGTATGTATGTATGTATGTATACAGGTATGTATGTATGTTTTGATTAAGATTACTTAAAAAATAAATGTACATAAAGAGAAAAAATGTCATATAAACAAAAGAAGATCTAAACTCAATCAAATTAAGAGAAGAGGACGGAAGAGGGAGGAGGGGGAGGATCCCCCTTGTGCTGGTCGCAGACATATTCTGGAAACTCCAAAGCTTAAATACTAAAATTATTACTTAAACGCAAATCTTGGGACCTCAAAAAGGTTATGTAAGAAGAAATAGAGAACGAACCAAGCCGCCCATGTGTTCTTGAAAAACATTGCCGTACTCGAGCTCCGTCATCTCGGATCTGCAAAACAGGAAAAAAAAATTGGCCAACGCACGGGCTGCCCGTGCAAAGATGCGTTTTTTGCAGAGTTCCCTGCAGTTTTTGTCGCTACCGGCATCGGTTTTTTCGGCAGAT